CAACAGTGGTCATCTATTCAACACACAGGGTCTGGCACAAACAATGCTCCTTTTTATCACAAAATCTTAAGCATGTAGTTCTATAACATAACAATATCACACTCAAGCACACCATATGACATTTTAGGTGAAATATCCAAATTAAAACTATAAATCATTACACCCATATTATTGCCCTACCAACCACGTGCAAGCAGGCGTCACTTCTGCTGGACCCTGTATTTACAGTTCAAGTAATTGCATATGAGTTGTGTATACGTGATGTTTAATTGAGAACCTAAGCATTCTCTCTAGCCAGGACCAAGTATGGTCCTGCATGAGACAGTGCTTAGCATCCAACCCCATGTCTGTCACACTGCAGGCACTCACTAAATGACAGGTTAAAACTGTTGGTGGCCGTTCATGCCCTGCCTTCTTCCCTCCCCATTCTCTCCTAGTCTTCTGCCCACAATGGTCCATGAGACTCCCCGCTGGTCTGTATCCCCTGGCCTGGCTTTTCATGCCCATGTTTCAGAGTTCATCTCATCCCTCTTATCTAAAGGGAACCTCCTCTGTTGTGATGAACTGGATTCCAGGCAGGGAGGTGGCAGCAGGATGCTGAGGCGGGAGCCTGGGCTGTGAAGCTGGAGGCAGCTGCAGTAACAGCGTGCCCAGAGAGCTTGTTAGAAATGCAGGCTCTCACCGCAGCCCCACCCAATTGCAGTAAGACCCTGAGGTGAACTACAGGTACCTGCAGAAGAAAGTTTAGATGCACTGGCTAAGGGACTTTGTCACCCAGCCTTACCACTTTTGTGTTAGTCTGCTTGGATTGCCATAACAAAGCACCACAGACTGGCTGGCTCAAACCACAGAAGTTTATTTTCTCACATTCTGGAGGCTGGAAGTCCAAGGCCAAGATGCCAACATGGTTGGTTCTCCTGAAGGCAACTTCTTGGCTCGCAGATGGTCACCTTCTTACTGCTTCTTTGTGTGGTCACCCCTCTGTTCGCACACACCCCGTATGTCCCCATGTGTCCGAATTTCCCCTTCCTGTAAGGGACACTGGTCAGATTGGAGTAGCCCCTCCACCCCTGCACCCATTGGTCTTGATTTAACTTAATCATGACTTTACAGACCCTATCTCCAAACACGGTTACATTCTAAAGTACTAGGTATGAGGGCTTCAACATATGAACTTTGTGGGAGACACAGTTCAGCCCATAACACCGCGTTAATGAAGAAGAAATGGAGGCTCAGAGACGTATGTGCCAGTCCAAAATTACCTGGAGGCCAAGAGGTGAGAGCTTCACTGCATCTCCGACTGCGCCTGTGTGAGCAGCAGCAACCATAGTGTGAGAGGCTGGGCGGGTGGAGTCTGGAGTTTACATTTAAGTTTGAGCTGTGCTCCCACTATTTCTGGGATCTTGGATACTTGCTTTAACCTTTTCAGACCTTAGTTCCCTTTTCTGTGAAATGGGGACAATAGAAGGCTCTCCCTCACAGGCTCATGGGGATGCTGTGAGGTCTGGACGGGAAGTGCAGGCGTCCGCACAGACGGCACCCACAGCCTCCGGACCCTGCTCTCCTCTCTCCGTCACCTGCTATCAAAATCCACTTATTTGCCACCAGCCCAAATGCCCAATTATTTTCCCCAGATGATTTGCAATTTAATAGCTAGAAAAACCAAGGGTTTAAAACTGTCACAGTGGAATGGCAGGCATCAGCTGGCAGGTCCACAGGGTCCTTTGCGGAAGGCAAGCCTGTGGCAGGCACTAAAAGGAAAACCTGCCGACGTGCCCCTCCAGCCCGTGCCTGGGGGTTCTCACTTCTAAATAATAGGCTGTGCACAATTTGATTTCATTTCACTGTAAATTGCCCAGCCTGCAACCAGGGATGCAAGGCAGAGTCCTACAAATCAATTCTGCTGTGCCAATAAGCTGGCGCCTGCTGACCTGGGGGTGCTTAGCAATGAGGCCCAGCCACAGAGCATTAAGGCAATGATTGCAATTTGCCTTTTGGGGTCAAACTGGGTGTGAATACAAAATTGTTTTCAAATGTTTCGTTTGTTTAGATTTATGTAGTGCATGCTCTGCTAAGATCTCCTCTATGCAGAGTGCTTTGCTGAGGCTGGAGTGGGCAGATGGGGAGACCAAGTCCCCTTCCCTGGGCTCAGAGGGGTCAGCACTGGGTCGCGCCTGGCAATGTGGCCTAATGGATCATGGGGAGGGTGGGTAGGTCCCAAGGTCACTGATCTGGGACCGAGGAACAACTCCGTCTTTCATCTCCTCTTTACCCACCTGTGCTTTGGGGGGGCAGGGTTGCTTTAACTCCTGCCCCCATGGCAGGTTCATGTTGGCTTCCCACCCGTGTCCGGCATCAGGACAGCAGCTCGGAAGGCTCTTTGGTGTTGAGCTGTCCTCTCCAGGTCTGGGCCAGATTCTTAAGTGTGGTGTCCAGTTTGTGCATTTCCTGGCCCCTCTGTTCTCCTCTGACTTTTGACCATGTCAGCATCCTCTCTTGCCTCCGAAATCCAGGACCCACAGAGAAAGGACAGTGATCACACCTGAGTCACCCCAGACAAAATGTAGGTGGGCTCCCTCTCTGGCTCGTGCCCACCCGGGGCCCACCTGTGGTGCACTGCGTCCGGCTGTGCTGCAGCCCCACCTTGCTTCCTCCCTCTGTGCCACCACCCCACACCCTGTGTAGGACCCTCGTCGTGGGATCTCCTGCAACACAGGGTCTGCTAAACTCATTTGTGGGAAGAAGTGAATAGTAACAATTGCTCCTTTTGGGAGTCTTTGCATTTTAACAAGTGGCCAGTCCTTTAGTTAAAAAAACCTGTTTTTTAAGGAAGAAATAAAGAAACGTAAGAGGTAGAATGAAATATTCCACCTGTAGTTTCTACAGGAGGGCCTTCTGAGTACGCGCCAGCCCACACCATCCTCCTCTCGTGGATCGAAGGCCAAAGACCGTCGGCCCACTGGCCTCCTTGCCAGCAGCCCTGGTCAGGCGGGCAGCTGCAGGCCAGGGTCCCTGCTGTCCATTAGAGGAGCCTGTCCACTCTAAGCCAGGATGTCAGCAGAACTGAACCGTGCATCTGAAACTGGGACAAATAGCGTTAATCAGCTAAGACCCAAATCGAATTCAAACAGTATTCCTTCACTGAGCCATGAACCGGCTCCATTGCCCCGGAGGACCAGTTTAACCCAGAATTGAACTAAGTAAGAAGGGGGCCTACTGACCATCCAGCTGGCTAATGCCTCCCATTTCATGGCTGAGGACACTGAGGCCCTGGGGGGTGGGACCCAGCTCAAGGTCACGTGGCACCTTGGTGGCCCACATTTGACTCTTTACTCTAATAACCCCCTTCCGTCTCCTCTATTTCGAGTGACCTCTTGATGCAGAACCTCTTGGGTTGTGCTCTCTACTGTGTATCTTTGAGTCAGGTCCTCGCTCAGGCTAAGAAGTTGGTGACTCAAATGAGAGATGGGTGGCTCGGTCAGAATTCTCCCAGCCTGCCCTTCCTCCCACAGCCCTAGAAAGTCAAAGGGAAAGATTGAAAACTTACCGTGACCTGCTTTGTATTATGGTTACTGATGTTATCATTATTATTTGCATCGATTATCTACTCATTTTAAACTTACTTTCTGAAGGTTATAGCACCACTCATCTAGATCAGTGGTTCCTATGAGGGAGATTCCTAACCGGGGGAGATTTTACCTCCAGGGGACATCAGCAACATCTGGAGACATTTTTTGGTTGTCACAACTTGGGACGGGGCACAGTGTACGCTACTGTCATCTTTTTTTAAAAGCTTTTATTTATTGATTTTTAGAGACGGGGAAGAGAGAGTGGGGCAGAAACATTGATGTGAGAGAGGAACATTGATCGGTTGCCTCACGTATGCTCCCTGACCTGCAGCCAAACCTGCAGCCCAGGCCCGAGCCCTGACCAGAATCAAACAGGCGAACTTTCATTTCATGAGGTGATGCTCCGACTGAGTCACACCGGTCAGGGCCTGGCGTCTTTGAGGGAGAGACGTGGGCACTACTAAACAATACCTTGGACAGCCCCCACAACAAAGAATTATCTGGCCAAAAAGGTCAACGGTGTCCAGACTGAGAACCTCTGACCCAAATCAACACAAAGGGGGTGACCTACCAGCCCCGCCACCTCAGCCAGCGATACCCTCCACTCTTCCGTTGCCCCCGAGCTCTGCCCCACCACACGCACTGACATTTCTACAGTTCTTATCCTTGTGTCTGGAATACAGTTCACATTCTACTTCTCTTCACTTAACACTGCATCCTGAGCTCTTGTCCCTCTTGCCTCGTTGTCTTCACAATGACGACTTTTGATGGCTGTAATGCTGTTCTTCAGGCGGGTTGACAGCCCATATTTTACCTGACAGTCCAAGTGTCTCATGGGGACTCGGTTACTGAGAGACTTGCCAGGTGGGCTGGGTTGGGTGGGGGCGGCTTGGATGGGCCTGCAGTGGCCAGCCCTCTCTTCTGCCTCCACCCAGGCTGATGCCATCATAGTCTTCATCATCAAAAGGCCTTTATGAAGCGCCTTGGTGAATGTATTCAAGGGGATCTTCTGCAGAGATCTTCCCACCAGCCCCTGACATCCGGGGCATGTAGCTCAGGCTGCACACATGTCGGCCAGCCACAAGGGCATCGCGGGACCAGGCTGCGGGCCCCAGGCAGAGGGTGCCAAAGCAGACTCTTAAGCAACATTCATGACAAGAGTAAGTGTGTCTGAGAATGGAACACAGGCTAGATTCCCAAAGGGAGCCAGAGCCTTCAGTTCTCCCCTCCAGCTGGCTGTAGGCTTCTTGAAGGTCATGGGATTTTAGGAGCTGTGGTCGGGTGGGCACTCTGACAGGGGTCAAGTGTTCCAGGCTCAAGTGTTCAAGTGCACAGCCTGAGGAAAAACCAGATGCTGCCAGAGATGTCCCTCCTGAGACCTGCCTGCCACCCTCTCTTCTTACCTCTGTGCCCCCTTTCCACCCCCTGCAGGTGTTCCATGAGCAGGGCATCCTCTTCGGCTACCGACATCCACAGAGTTCCGCCACAGCCTGTATCCTCAGCCTCTTCCAAATGACCAATGAGACCCTCAACATCTGGACTCACTTGCTGCCCTTCTGGTACCTTCCAGCCCCCTTGACCAGCTGTCTGATTCGGGAGCCCTGGAAACCAGGACCTCTTTAAAACACCGTGAGGGTTGGGAGGGTTGAGATGTTGTGTTGAGATTTGGGGGACTCCCACGTCCCCCAAATGTGTGGGTGTGGAGCTGGGCTGAGCTTTAGGTCATGGATTGTGGTAGGATTCGTGGGGCTCCTGGTGGCTCCTCAGTCTTCCCTGTTCCTCTGTTCTTGGGCCTGATTTGATCGCATCCCCTTCAGTTGCGAAGGTTTTTGGGGTCACCGAGAAGCATTGGGCACAGAGCTATGGGTGCCTGTAACCATTCTGGAAACCCAGCAGCTACAGGCAGTGGGCCAGGCACCACTTTAGTGGGGCAGCTAAAAACTAAGTCCTGGGACGCACCAACAGGAGCTGCAAGGAAGGCAAAGAGGGGAAGGACCTTGCTGAGCAAGGGGGCGGGGCCCCAAGGGCAGCTGGACACACCTTGTGCTGGTGCCTAACAGGGGGAGAGTGGAGATGAGGTCAGAGGCCGAGTCATCACACATCAGAGCTGGAAGGACCTCAGAGGTCATACTGGCTTGACTTCTCGGGCTTTGGGACAGCTGCACAGAGGCCATTTTATGGATGGGCCACAGGTGATTCGGGCTGTTTTAAAGATTGTGCTGCTAGCAGGGGTGCCCAGCCCGTGGTCCACGGGCCACATGCAGCCCAGGATGGCTATAAGTGTGGCCCAACACAAAACTGTAAATTTACAGAAAACATTCTGAGATTATTTTTGTGATTCTGTATTACAATGCACTTAATGTGTGGCCCAAGACAACTCTTCTCTTTCCAGTGTGGCCCAGAGACGCCAAAAGTTTGGACACCCTGTGTGCCGACCTGGACCATCCCCGTTTGTGGGGCCCAAGCCCCGTGGGCAAGTCCTGTGGGACGAGCCCTCAGCCGTCTGACAGCGGGGCACCCCCACGCTGCCAGGCCCCACCGAACAACACAGCGTAGCAGGAGGGCTCGGAAGGGCCGGGAGTCAGACACCCTGAGGAAGGGAGACTGGGGGACAGATCAAAGCATATGTTTTGAGAAACAGCAAATAGCTCAAGCTTTATTTCTGCTGGGACAAGAGGAAAAAGATCACCAGTACAGCCAGAGGATTTAACGATCCTCCTTGCGTTCCCGTGTGAGAAGCTCTGTGGTCTCTGCTGGGAGAGTTCGAGGGAAGGGGCCGGCTCTTTAGCAGTCTGTGGGAGTGGGCAGCTCCGGAGGCAGGACCCCCCGCACGGGTGACAGGTGAGGCAGACCTGATGCGGAAGTGTGCAGCACCACTGTGCAGCGATGGAGCCCAGAGACCCAGGCTCGGCTGAGACTCCGCCTGGGCCTCGGCCCCTCGGAAAAGTGACCGCCAAGTTAGCGGAGGAATGGTGTGGAAGAGAAGGGAGGAGAACGTCCCGTTGGCCTCCGGACTTCCAGGGCCCCACCTGGGGGGTTGCTTCTGATTGAGGAGCCTGCCTGTAAGGGGGACATAGACAAACCCCCGGGATGGTGACCAGGGCAGATGTGGCCCCCATGAGGAGGGGTTGAATGCACTGGGGTTATTTAGCGTGAAGTCCAAAGAGGTGGGGAGGCGTGTGGTGACTGACTTAAGATATTTGATGGGACTGTTTTCTACGGTCCGGTCTGGGAGTCTGGGAGCACTGGGGCAGACCAAATGGAGAGGGGCTCCAGGGAGACAGATGGCAGCTCAATGAAGAACTTTCTAACACTCAGAGCTGCCTTGGTAGGTGGTGAGCTCCCCATTCCTGGAAGCATGCAGTTTGAGGCTCGAGAATCACTTGACAAGAGAGTGTAAGAGGGATCTGTTATCAGAAGCAGGGAGAGAGGACTGGACTAAATAAAGGCCCTGTTTTTGCTCCTCCTACTTATTTCCAACCAGAAAAGGACCATACTCACCCTCCCTTGCTCATGGCATTTTACCAAGTGAGAACAAACACATAGGAACTGGCCGTCCCTGGGGAGTGAAAGGCAGAGGACAGTCAGGTGGAGAAGGTAAGAGGAGCCCCCAGCTGCAGGGACTGAGTGGCCCTGCTGTGTTCCAGGTTCTTCGTGTGGAGGTTTGTGACCGCACTGTATGTGACAGACGTCCAGAATGACAGCTACTCCTGGCCTCTGCTTGTGTACATGAGCACCAGCTGCGTGTACCCCCTCGTGTCCAGCTGTGCCCACACCTTCAGCTCCATGTCCAAGAATGCCCGACACATCTGCTACTTCCTGGACTACGGCGCTGTCAACCTCTTCAGCCTGGGTACGTGGGGTCTTGCTCTCCACTTTCTGCCGGGACTGAGCTGCCTGCCCCTTCTCCTGGGAGCTGGGGTCACCCTTGGGCTTCGATGGGCGTGCAGAAGAGTTGTGGGAACACAGTCCCCGTCAGGCTTCCCAATGAGCAGGCTTCCCAATGAACTTGTCCAAAGGTGTGCTGGCAATACTTAGCGACTGGTTCTCTGGGGACAGAGGCCCTGATCTGTGGTGTTTGCAGGCTTGTGGCATAAACACTCCCACAGGTCCACCACCGTGACGGCACTGAACACAGACCAGGTGGGGAGAGAGACGCAGCAGCTCACCAAGACCCAGTGATTCCACTATATTAACACGGTGATGGCCTAACTGAAGAGTTACTACTTTCGCTGCTATGATTTATTTAATCGTTTGTTTATGTCATTCCATTGTTAACAATGGCCGTGTCTAACAATGAGCTCACGGGTTCTCTGAAATGAGCCATCTGCTCTCACAGGCCGGCGTGAGCCGGCCACACACATCAGTGCTGGCCTCTCGCGTGCCTGGCAGGGAAGTGGGGCGCTCACAAACCCGTTTGTCCAGAGGCTTACGATGGTTAGTGATTTTCTCAAAGCGCCACCGGAACAGAGCGGAGAACCCAAAGTTAGTGTCCTACCATCTTATGTTTTCCTTTAAGAATGGCATGCCCGGCCTGTCGTCTCCTCCCTCCCTCTGGGGGCATCCGTCTGTCCCCTCACCTCCCAGTTCCAGCCTCTTCTCCCTCCTGACCCGCCCTAGGTATGAGAGCAAAGGCATTGTCTTCTCTTCCCCGGGAGGGGCTCCCATGAGGAGCCCACCTCTATCCCATTTCCTGTTCTCTTTCTTCACAAGTTACACACACATATGTATAGATACACACAAGCACATATACACACATATATGCATACAGACACATACCACGCATACACATATGCACACATGCAGTGCACATATATACATGCACATACACACAGCCTTTACTGCCTCACCTCCCACTCCTCAGTGCTCTGCTGTCCGCCCCCACCGTTCACCGCACGGCTTGCCGAGGCCCAGCCTCCTCCTGACGCCCAGGGTTCGTGTAGCTCTGTGGGCTCCCTCTGCAGACTTTGAGGCAGGGCTGCCTGTGCTCCTCGAACCACCCCCCTCTCTGGTCCCTGCTGCATCACCCCTACCCCTTTCTCCTCCTTTGCTGATTGGCCTTTCTCTGCTCTCCTCCGAACGTGGGTGAGCTCAGAACCTGTCCCTGGGCCTCTGCTCTGAAATGGCCCAGCTCCCTGGGTGCTCCCCTCAGCGCCCCCACCATGCCCTGCTCTGGGGAAGGTGCTCCCAACCCCCACCTCTACTTTAAACCACTTACCTGAGGTCCAGCCCATGTCGAGCCCTGTGACCCAGACTGCCCACAGTCTCCCATCCCTGCCTCCAGGTCAGAAATCTGTAGGTAACCCTCACTTCCCCCTCCCCCTTGCACAGCCCACCCCACCTCTGCCGTCCTCTCTCATCAGCATGTTCTGTGTGGTGTCTTCTCCATATTTTTCAAAGCGGCTCTGCCCCACTGGCTCGGCTCAGCTCCCCATGCCTCTCCCCTGCGTGTCACGACAGTCTCCTCTCTGCCCCCCCACTCAAACTCAATTTCTGCCCAGTGGTCCCGGGGAAGTTTCTCCAACACCTTCTGACCATGGCAGCCCTCCCACTTAACACCTTTCAGGGCTCCCAACTGCCTGGGACGAAGCCCAAACTCCTTAGCTCGGAGCTTCCACAGCCCTGATCGCCTGCCTGGACTCACAGTGACAAGGACTATGGGAGCAGTCAGTACAGGGCAGACTCCGCGCTGAGCACTGACGCACGCAGCATAATGGGAGCTCAGTGGCCTTGCTGCCACCATGCCCTAATAGCTATGTGCTCTTGGTCAGACTTCTTAAGCTCTTCAACCTCAATCCTCTCACCCACAAAATTGGCATCTGCCCCATAGGTGTGTTGTGAAGATTAAATGCATTTTGGAAGTGAAGCACTTTGGACAGTGCCTGGCACTTAGGAAGCATAGGAGGGTAGCCATTTACCATGGTGACCTAGGTACCCTGACAGCAGTCCCCTGAAGTGGGACCCTCATTGTGCCCATACTGTAGGTGAGAATAATGAGGCACAGTGAAGGTCAGTGACCCAGGTCACTCAGATTGTCAATGGCAGAGCCAGGGGCCCGGGGCTGGACCCACCTCCATGCAGCTCTGGTCCCCGGCTCCTCACTGGGAACTGCTCCCTGAGGACAAACATGAACCTTCCACACTTGGCTTTCTGGCCTGCAGCCCAGCACCTGATGCAGGGAGTTCAGTAAGCAGGGAAGGAAAGTCCGGTGGCCAGAGAGCCTGTGGGTTCCTCCAGGACACCCAGCTCCGAGTCTGCAGCCCCCTCTCCTCCCCGCTCTCCTCTCTCCCCGTGGAAACCCTCAGTGCCTGGAAGGTGGCTTTGCTCCAGCTTCCCCCCAACCTCCCCCCTGCCGGTTTCCCGCTCTTCCTCCCTCTAGGTCATCCTTGCCCCTCCACCAGGTTGCGGCCACCTTACTCCCCACTCGGAAACCTTCTGGTTACACCTGACACTAATACAAAATAATACTGAATGTAAACTGTAATGAAAAAATTGTTTTAAGAAAGTAAGAAGAGCCTTGACCCATGTGGCTCAGTGGGTTGGGCATCGTCCCACAGAGCGAAGGGTTGTTGGTTCGATTCCTGGTCAGGGCCCATGCCTGGGTTCTGGGTTCAGTCCCCAGTTGGGGCACATGGAAGAGGTAACCAATCCGTGTTTCTCTCTCACATCAATGTTTCTCTCCCTCTCTTTCTCCCTTCCTTCCCCTCTCACGAAAGTAAATTGGTAAATAAAATCTAAATATATATATAAAAGAAAAAAAGAGAGAAACCTTCTGGTTGCTCCCACTTTTCTGAAAGATGAAGTGCACTTTCCGTAGTCTGGCGTCCAAAGCCATCCCCTACGGCCCCGGGAAGCTCTCCCTGCCCCCGGGCCCCTGTGAGAATCCCCCCCTTCTAAGGAGGCTTCCCCCGCCGTGGCTGGATGCCCACCATCGTGAACGCCCACCTTGCACTGCAGCCTGCCTGGAGGCTCTGACCAAGTGCGCGTCTCACTGCAGTTTCTGGCAGGATCTGGGGCCCCTCGCTCCTGTACCACCCACGGAGCTTGGCACCCAGGCCCCAGACAGCATGTACAGGGTGAATGCGTCCTGGCCTCGTGTCAGGCGGAGAGAGGACAGTGTCCCCCCGGAGGAGCTCCCGGCCGGAACCTGCTAGAGGAGGGAGCACGGCATCAGGAGGGAGCAATCTGAGGCCCTTTCTGCCTGTGTGACCTTGGGAACACTGGCTGGCTTCCCTAGACTCCATCTGTCAAATGGGATCAGAGGCAGAAGTTGTGTGGCCCTGAGGCCTGTTTCAGCCTTGAACTTGAATTCCAAATCCTCTGTCTTTGGAATAGTAGGTGACCTTAGGCCCAATCCCTCAGGCCCGTGGCTGCCTCTCCCAGAGGCTGCCCCTGCTCCTTCAGCAGGTGAGGGTGCCTGGAGAGGCCATCGAATCCAGGTCCCCAGGCAGTGATTGCCCTGTTCTTTCAAATAAAAGCTGCAGCAGACAGGTCTCATGAAGTCCCTTAGTTAGCCCTTCTCTCACAAACTCCGAAACAAATAACAAAAAACCCCGAGGCCAGCCTCATACCCAGCCTCTCAGCTGGCCAGTCCTGCAGCCCCTTGACATGATTCGCCTCACTGCAGCAAGGGCCCTTCCTCCCTGCACCTGGATCTTTCTGCAAGGAGCACCTTGTGCCACAGGGCGGACGACATGTGCACACTCAGAGCAAAGCTAGCACACTGGAGTGTCATCATGTGCACACTCAGAGAGAAGCTAGCACACTGGAGTATCATCATGGACCATAGCATGTACCTAAAAGCAGAGACTGTCCCTGAACGGCCCTGAGCTTGAAGTTTGGCTTTGCTGCTTTCTAGCTGTGTGCCCCCGGGTGGGTTACTAAACTGCTCTGTGCCTCCACTTTATCATCTATAACACGAGGGTAAGTGCGGGATTGTGGTTGTAGAGATTTTGTGAGCCCCTGGCCAGCTAGGAGCGTCATCCCGATACACCGAGGTTGTGGGTTGCATCTCCAGTCAAGGCGCATACAAGAAGCAACTAATAAATGCATACGTAAATAGAGCAACAAATCGATCTCTCTCTGTCTCTCTTCCCCACTAAAATCAATAAATTTAAAGATTATGTGAGTTAACATATGCAAAGCCCATGAAGCAGTGTAAATTCTCAGGCTAGGATCTGGGTAAGGCAGTGGAGACAGGAGGGCATTCGGGCAGGGGTGGGGGCCCACAAGAGGGCGTAGCAGCAGGACTGCCCCTGGTTGGCGGGGAGGATGGGGCTCGGCCACGTGCTAGGGTTGGTCTCCCCGACAGTCTGGACAGTGCCAAGTAGTGGCCTCTTGCCCAAGGCTGATTTTTCTTCTCCAGGCTCAGCCATTGCCTACTGTGCGTATTCGTTCCCTGACACCCTGGTGTGCAGCACCTTCCATGACTACTACCTGACTCTGGCTGTGCTGAACACCATCATCAGCACCGGCCTCTCCTGCTACTCCAGGTACCTGGCCACTGTGTCTCAGATGGGAGGGGGAGGGGGCCTTGTGTGTGTCACCACAGATCGTTGGTGGGGGGGTGGTGTGCAACAGGCACTCGGGAGCCGGGGCTCAGCTCCACATGGACTTCCTGTAGCTGGGCAGGACCAGCTTCAGCGGCACACAACCTGTGTAGTCATTCGGGGCCCCACGATCCAGAGGGCTCCACACTGGGTTCAACAGTCTGCTATTGCTGTCCTGAAATTCTTGATTTTTGAACAAGGCAGGGCCTACGCTCTCCCTTTGCACTATGCCCTGCAAATTATGTGCTGGTCTCATTGCTGGACAGTCACTTATCCTCCTTGACCCTCAGTTTGCTCATCTGTAAAATGGGGCCAACACCTGCCTTGTGAGATGGATGTAAGCATTGTAGGTAACGTACATATGTACAAACCTGGCCCAGAGGAGTGCCTGCTACTGGTGACTAAGCGGTCCTGCCTCTAGATATGTGTGACAGGTAACACGGTGGTCACATGTCGGACACATCCCCAGGGGAAGCAAGCTCCACAGCCACAAGTCACACCCAGCTTACTCACTCTGATTCCCTCGAAGTGTCCCCTCTTTCATTCAAGGAAGCTCAAGGAGAGCCAGAAACATTGTTTTGAGGGTAACTAGTTTATTTAGCTCTTGTAAAATTGACTGCTCCAAAGCTCCAGTGCCCTAAATTACTTAGGAAACCTCTTAAGTGGTGGTGTCGGGCATCAGCCCTTCTAGAAGCTGTTGGGGTGCCAGGTGCTTCGGTGGCACCAAGGTTGGCTGACAGGTCACACCGAGGGTCAGTGCCCTCTATCGCAATTCCATGAGCCAGTCCGAGTCTCCCTGGTGAACTGCAGGCCTCAAAGAATTGGGTTCCCTACAGCTGTGCCCGCCCCCCCGCCCCCCGCCAGCCCCTGCACCCACACAGGAGAAAACGGGAGGGAGAGGCGTGCTGCTGTGACTTCACAGAGGTTTGCACTCCAGCTTTCTTAGGGTGACGTTTAGGTTCCATGGGACCCGAGAGGTAGGCAAGAGGTAGGTCAAGTTCACAAACTTGACAAACTGGTTTTCTTTAAGAATGGAAAGGTGTATTCTTAAACCAGCACCAGCAATACCTGCCCTGACCTGCCTTCCACTTACCCGTCCAGGGACAGGTTGGAGCGAGCTTTCCAGGGGCGCGAGTCTCCTTTCTAGGCGCAGTCTCAACGCTGGGTTTCCTGTTACTTCGTCCTGTGGAAAGGCCTGGGCGTGGGAGTTGGAGGTAGACTCTCTCTTCCCTCTCCTGGGAAATCCCAGGGCTCCCTTAAAGCTGTAAGGAGACAGGGTCTGCCCACAGAGTAAGAAATAGAATCGGATGTCATGGGGCGATTGTTTCCTTCCTGACGCCCCCCCCATTCCTCAAGGACACTGGTGATTAAAGATCTCTCTCTGCAGTGCAGCCCCAGGGCTGGCAGGAGCTGGGAGGGCTGCAGAGATGAGGGTCCCTGCCTTGGGTGGGACGGGGAATGACACACACAGAAAAGTAACAAGGATGTGTAGAAACCCCTCGACAGGTGAAGCGTGCCACCGGGCAGTGTCCTTGGATGCCTAGGCTCGCCGATGGCCTGGTCCAGGGACCCGGATGAGTCCCCAGCCTGTCTGATTGGCTCCTGCAGGACCATGTAGCCCTGGTGTTTGGAATTCAGGGTCAGGGGGCAGCAAGGGCTGGGGGCTGGGAAGGCTTTGTGGTGTGGGAGGAGCAGTCCCAGAGTTCAGGGCCCAGCACTGCCTTCCCGGGCATGCTTCACCAGTGCAAATCCCTGGAACACCTGGTGCTTTTTTTAAAAAAAGCTTTCCAGATTACCTGTAAGCCACCAGGGCAGACAGTTTCCTTCCGGCCAGGCGTCCCCCCGATGGTTCGGATACAGTGAGCAGGTATTCTGCACGCAGCAAGGCTGGCACCGTTGGACAAACTTGTCTGGCAGGGCAGGTTGGCCAGGAATCTCTTGAGTGCCCGTGTTCGGGGGCTTTTCCTTTCTCAATGAAATGGATTATTTCTGTTTATTTGTGGGCACATCTGTGGCTATTCCATCAACCCTTCTAGCCAACCATCCACCCACCTACCCACCTGTCCATCCTTTCGTTTGTCCATCCATGCAACCGACCGACCACTCCACACGTCTTATATGCCTGCCATGGTCCAGGCATCGCATTGAGATCTGAGAATACCAGGAGGAGTGGGGCACAGTCCTCGCCCTCGGAGAGTGCCCAGTGCCTTAGGAGGGGCAGACTGCAGACCGTGGGGAAATGGCCTTTAAGGTGTAGCATTACAGAATGTAGCACAGACAGTGATCAAATGGCATCGGCGTGGGTAACCGGGGTTCTCTGAAGTGGCATTCTCTCTTCTGGAGGACAGAAGGACCCTTGGACAGAGCAAAGAGCCTGGACAGGGTGAGGGGGCAGGAAAGGGCTGGACTGGGAGGTGTCCTGCTGGGGACTGGCGTTGTGCTCCTGAAGGACAGCGATATTCCTAGGAAGACGGTTCCTTGCACTCAGCTTCCACGCTCTGAGGGGCTGTCAGGCATGTTAACAACCACCGGTGAGGGGCCTGTGCAGGACCAGAAGGGGAGAAAGCGGACAAACGCCATCTTCTCACAACGCAGAGTACTAACCACTGTACCATCACGGCGAGCTACCGGAGCCTTTAAAACGCCACATTCTCAGAGCCAGAGGGAGAGCGGATGTCCCACGGTGAGGGCCCTTAGGTTTCCTTCTCCCCTTGTCCAGGTTGGTGGCTGCCCTGATCTTACAAGGCCTGTCCTCTTTGTGTTCATTCCCTGTCTTCCACATTTGAGGAGTAAAAAGAATGACGTGGGTGGGGAGGGACTCTGGCCCTGACTGACTTCAGGAGATGCAGATAGAGAGGAGTTTGAGGGCCGTCTCCTAGTTTCACGGCCATGCTATGTGGCCAGTCACTCACTGCCCCTCTGGGCGTCCGTGTGCCCACCGTAAACAAGGGCATCTGAGAAGACGTCCTCTAGTTCTTTCTGGTCTGGGCCTTCTGCAATGCCTGCGTCCTCGCCCAGATTTCTCTTCTGCCTCTCCCTCCAGCTCCTCAGTCCGTGGTATGGCCATGAGCAGCGAAGACCCGCCCACCTTCTCCTCCCCTGAGCACAGCAGGGGACGGAGACGCCCTTAGTAGCTTTTCACGTAGTCACATGCCCACCAGCATATCACAGTCCAAACGCCATTCATTCCATCACAGTGCACATTCACCTGATCCTCAGAGCGAATCCCCGCACAGAGAACTGTGGACTCCCCTGGCTGGGTTTGCGGTCCTTATTACCATGGAATTTGTTTCAAATGAACATGTTCCAGAAAACTGCTTTCTTGTTCTGTAGCATTTGAGAGGGGAACTGGGGGGATGTGTGAGCCCTCTGTGGTTCTCGGATCCAGGTGGGGTGATGGAGGCCCCATCTGCTCGTGCCTGCCCAGCACCCAAAAGCCCAGGAAAGTGAGTTCCAGTGTTTCTGTGCATCACAAATCACCGCAGGGACTTTTATGGTTATCCATCCAAATAACCCAGCCATTGGGGTTCTTTCTGACACATATTTGCTCAGCGTGATGCCTTGTGGTCGGTGCTGTGAGGGCCGCGATTGTCATTCCTGTGAGAGCCACACCATAGCACGGCCGGTCAGAGCAGAGTGGAGGCCTGGGATGGGGTGTGGAGGTCACAGCCGGAAACCGGAGGCTCAGCAGACAGTGGTTCTCAAGATACACCAGAGGTCAGAGGGCTCAGCCAGATGACCACGGGCTGCTGGGGCCAGGGCCACGACCACGTCCCTGCGGTGCCACCCAGACAACAGTGAAACAGCCGTAGACAGACAGACAGACAGACACACACACACACACACACACACACACACACACGGACCCTCAGCATTAGAATGGTGTTTCCAAAGTCCCACATGTTTCAGGCACTAATTCCAGAATTTGCTGGCAAATGCTTCCAGCTTCGTTGCAATAAGAATGATCAGGTTTTAAAGCAGACTGGAATGGCATCGACCCTCTCTTGATGGAGGCTTCGCCCGAAATCTGGTGTTTCTGGGTTCTAGGCAGAGGAGGTCTGACTCCCTGTGAATTGGCCCCTCACCCTGGGGTGCAGGGACTGCCTTACCAGTCCCGGCTTTGTGGTTAGAGGCGCTTTGCCAGAGTCCAAGGCGCTGGCCCTTCCCTGGCAGAATCCCTGACTGTGGCGACACCCCGTGGCCTGGCCTGGAATTGCACCTTGGTAGTGGGAGGCCCCTCTCTCTCTGGCTGCTAGCCTTTCTGCTTTTTATTCTCTATTGCTGTCTCTCTTCTGTTCTGCTTTTTCTCCTTTTTCCCCCCTGTAGACTCAGCATTGCAGTCGGAGAGGCTGATTCATTTGCCCCTGGGAAAGCACTTTATCAGGCTGGGTGAAATGTTGTCTCAAGTCACGGGAAATTCATGCTTTGGGAGATGGCCCTCACCAGCCAGAGCCAGCTTTCTTCTTGTGTAAGTGGCCACAGAAAGAGCATGCTTTCACAGGGAGCCCCTTTTCACCCAGATGTGACAGGGGGTGGCAGTTCATGGGGAAGGAGGGAGCGGGCTTGCTGTGGTCGACCGGATCGGCCTGGGGAGACTGAGGAGGCTGTGGAGACCTGCCCTGGTTCTTGGGGCAGAGGGGCTATTTCAGTTTGCCCCCTGGGGCTGAGGGGTCTAGGTAAGGACAAACAGAGGTCGCATGGTGGTCTGAGGCCTGCTGGAGGGTGGGGGTGTGAAATGGGAGCCAGACAGCCCTGGGTTTAAATCCTAGCTTTGCCCCTTATTAGTCCTCTGACTTTAGACAAATCAGCCAGCATCCATCTGTGCCCTCCTGTTCTGGTTTCTGGTGCAACGTGGCTACAAGGTGGGGAAGGGGAGAGAATGGGTCCCACGACACACCTTCAGTAGACACACAACAGTAGAAGCTGCCATTTATGAAGGTCCCTCTGTGCTGTGCACAGATACAAGCTCCTTGTGAGTACCATTTCATCAAGTCTTTGCAGCAAGCCTGTGAAGGGATACGGCTGTTGTTGCCGTGTTACGTGCGAGGATTCCGAAGTGCACAAAGTACAGGACCTGCGGTTACACGGGCACGCAGGGCAGAGGCAGGATCTGAGCCCAGGCTGCCCGGGGCGCATGCTGCATGCGGGACCCAGGCACTGGGCTGCCTCACCTACCCCAGGGTTCGTGGTTTACTCCAAGGCGGGGGTTTTTGTTTGGGGGGATGATGAACGGAGATCCCTTATTTCTCTTCCTCCTTCTCCTTGAGCTGTTTCTTCACCTCCTACTTCCAGGTGCTTCTCTGATTTATGCACAGGGTCCAGACAGGATAGACGGGCTGGTGGGCTTGAGTGAAGTTGAAGCCTGTCTCTGGGGTCTGTGGGGCTCCTCAGGTCCCGCAGGGCTGCCTCTTACCCTGGAGCAGAGACCCCTGTGCTCAGCCACCCCGAGGGACGGGCCCAACACAGGTTGATGGATTGTGTCTTCTGCCCAGGACCTCACACGAGCCTCTGAACTGAGCGTGGGGACCCAGACCCGAGCAAACCCAACTCCAGCCCTTGAGAAGGTTGCCGACCACGCAGGAGGCAGGCATGGGGGTCTCTGCCACATCCCACTCCCAAGGATATGGGCAGCAACAGGGTTTCTGGTCAGGTGCCTGCACCAGCTCATGGGGCACATGGACAACCTGGTCAGGGAAAATGGGCCTGGGCTGGGGGGAGCAGCAGACCGTGTCTGGGGGAGAAGGTGCAGGCTTGTGGGCTGGGACAGGGGTTTGGGGAGCAGAGGTGAGGCATGGTGGTGGGGCAAAAACCCTGTCCCCTCGGTAGAGCGTGATGACAGACAGAACTGTGTGGAAGGCTGAGGAGGCTGAGTGCCTCCATTGTCCTATAGAACAGACAGCCCATGAGCCTTGGCATGCTGGCTCTGCATGTCACCTGTGCAGCCCTGTGGGCACCAAGGGAGGACCCAGCCCTCCACAACGCCCTGCAGTATTGAAGCAGGCACCTGCACCGCCACCCGTCCCCGGTGCATGAGTGTTCCTTTACCGGAGCCCCGTTCAGGGCTGTGGTTCTGCCTGGGCCCTCTCCTTGCCCCTCCCATGCTCTCGCCGCCAGCTGTGCTGGCCCGCGCCCCCCATCCTCTGACGCTGCCCCTCTGCAGGCTGGGCCCAGGCCAGCTGAGGCCCTGTCCTGTTCCATCCCGGGGACCTGCCTGTCTGTGATGGTCAGCATGAGGAATGTTGGCCTCACTTGTCTTTGTGTTGGAGGCGGGTGGGGATGGTGATAAGGAGAAAAGGAAAAACTGCACTGACTCAGTTTCCCCAGGCAGCAGTATCCCTGCGTGTGGTAGTAAATGTTCTAGAAATCCCTCAGAGTGACCAGACACCTAACTGAAGCAAGGCTTCTGCATGGTAATCACCAGGGTGGCCCTGACTAATGAGGCATCTCAGCCTTCACAGATGTGCTTCACAGCCTGTGCCACTGCGGCCACCCACGCCCATGCATGTCCTGGCCTGGTGGTCACTGCTCTGCAGAAAGGCTCTTGGGCAGTTAAATGACTTGGTGCTTGAAGGGCTCCTGCTGAGTGCTCCTCCCTGGCGTCATCTGGGTGCCATTGCTTCTCATGGCCCCAGGAGACAGATTCCCCCGAGATCTTGTCACCTCTGAGGCTGAGCCACTCCCGTGGGAGGTGGGAGGAGGGAGAAAGGAAGAGGCTGGTGGAGAAGCTGCTGGAGGAGGTTGTCCCAAAATGCTTGCCTCCCAAAAGCACTGGCAGCTTGCCCTCGGCTATGTTTAATTTGCAGGTGTGTGTGATTTACTGACACTCCTTCCATTCCCATTTCTCCCCCACCCTTCCGCCCCGATTTAGGTTTCTGGAAGTCCAGAAGCCCAGGCTGTGCAAGATGCTCCGCGTCCTCGCCTTCGCTTATCCCTACACCTGGGACTCTCTCCCCATCTTCTACAGGGTAAGGGCCCTGCTCCATCCCCTCTGCCTGGTGGCACCGGGAGGGAGGCAGTTATTTCACGAGCCCCTGGGGGTCAGAGCACCACGCTGGTCACCACAGGACACAGGAGTGGAGCCCCAGGTGCTTCCTCACTGGCACTTGCGGAGTGGTTAGGAGACAGCATGACACGGAGGCCTTGAGGGACCACAGGAGCCCTGCCAGCCACCGGTGCTGATGGGGGGGGGGAGGGCTCAGGGGCAGTCAGTGGCAGGGGGCCGGGCAGGGGAGGCATTCTGGGGCTTAGTAGAGTGGCCGGGGGACGGGCTCTAAAGACAGATCTCTAATACTCACTCACTGGAGCCTGTGGGCAAGTGATCCATCACCTCTGCACCTTGATTTCTCATGGGGAGAATGAGCCTGGTGACACCCCATTCATCAGGCTGGGGAGGGCGTTACATGAGATGGCAGCAAGAGTCCCTAGAAAGCATTGTTATTTATTATCAGCAATGAATGTATTATTAGTAGTGATGGGAAAGAATGCATGAAGGTCTTAAAGGAGAGAGGGGAATTAGACGGGGAACACAAAATAGGAGGGTGTAGGAGGAAAGAATGGGAGTCAGGAAGTGTATACACTCTCAAAACAGATGGGCCTCAGCTCGAATCCCAGTCCCACTGCTCACTGGCTGTGTGACCTTAGACAGAACACATAACCTCTCTGAGCCTCAGTTTCATCTGTATATGGGACTAACACCCCCTCCTTCGTAGTGGGGTAGAGAGGATTCGCCAAAACGAGAGAGCTGTGGGGCTCGGCGATGCCTGGCACACGGTCAGCGCCCAGCGAGTGGCATTCCCCTCTCAGAGGCAGCCTGGGGGTCCGATGCCTGCCACCGGGATGGCAGTGCCAAGGAGTGAGGGGGAGGGGCAGAGGGGCTCCCCCAGCTGAAGAGCTAACCACATGCTCTGTGCTTGGTCCGTGTGGGCCTGGGGGAGACCCAGAGATGGGGGTGCAGCCCGTTCCCGCCACTGCTTCCTTGGGGACACAGGCCACACACAGGAAACTGGAGCAGAGAGGCCAAGCGGGTCCCCTGTGCCACCAAGCCACACAGCTCAGGGTCTGCGTTGGTACAGGCACGGTGGGCTCCTGGCACACAGCTGCCGAGGGCAGTGGGGAGGGAGGTCCAGCCCTAACCGGCAACGGGGACAAGCGCACGGATTCTGGGATCAGTCTGCTTGGATCCAGATCCTGACGTCACTTCGTGTCACCTTCTGGCCCAGCCTCCTCATCTGCATAATGGACTCCGCCTCGCGGCGCGTGTGAGACGCCCGTGAAATGATGCAGCCACGGGCCTGGCCTCGCACCGCTGAGGGTGGTGGCTGCTGCCGTCATTTATAACAATAACAAAACTGCACATAACTCTGAAATAGTATCATGGCTGTAAGTGATACCTTCTGATGACCCAGAAGGCCTTCGAGGAATTGCTAAACCCTGAAGTCTCAATTAGGTGTATCAATTCGGTGGATGTGCTGGTTAGAAGCGAGTTCAAAGTGAAATGATCACTTTTTAAAAATTTTATTTTTTTAATTCTCACCTGAAGATATATTTACTAATTTTGGAGAGAGAGGAAGGAGGAGAGAGAAATATGGTGTGAGAGAGAAACATCTGTCAGCTGCCTCCCATATGCACCTTGACCTGGGATCGAACCCGCAACCTTCTGGTGTATGACAATACTCCAACCAGCTGGGCCACCCAGCCGGGGCTGAAATGATCACTTTCTACTAAACTTACACATTACCTCTGGAACAAAGAACAGGAATGTATCTAATGGGGTTTTCTTTCCATTTCCTTTCCTCTTCTCTTTTGTTTTCCTTCCTTTTTTTTTTTGTAATTAACCGAGAAGATTCTCATGAGCAGTTGGGGGATTAAAACACAGTTGCGTTGGATCTCAGCTGAGCCCTCTCAGAATAGGAATTCTGCTCACACAGCCCCTGAGAGGTCCCTTTCCCAGCCACGGCCCTGAGGAGGCGGGGGCCCAGGCCCGCGGGGCCTGCGCGTGGGTGCCAAGCTGTCTGCGGTGGACACAAGGAAGTGGGCCTCCTCTCAAGGCCCGATGTTTCTTTTAAATACCGGCAGCTGTTCCTGTTCCCAGGGGAGAGTGCACAGAACGAAGCCACCTTGTACCACCAGAAGCACGTGGCCATGACTCTCCTGGCCTCTTTCTTTTACTCGGCGCACCTGCCAGAGCGCCTGGCCCCCGGGTGCTTCGACTACATCGGTGAGTGATCCGTGGCTCCCCTGCCATTGCCCTCCAGCCCAGGGGTGGGGGCAGGGGGCTCCCATCCTTGACACCGGTGATGCAGCTGGAGCGGGGAGGTGGGGGCAGGGAGAGAAGCAGGTCTCCAGGAAGTTCTCCAGGTGCAGGCCAAGGCGAGTGAAATTGTGCGTTAACCACATCCAGAATGTACGTATCCAGAAAATGACCAGGGAGGATGGGAGAGCCGGTGGGTCTAAGACTCTAAAGCATTCCTGTGGGATGTGGGGTAGCCCTCTTATCATCTAGAACATGAAATCTCACTGTCCAATGACCACTGAGGGCGTCCCTGGAGAGGAAGAGGAAAGACAGGGCACGCACGGCTGCAAGGGCGCAACTGTGCAGGGCTGTGCCGAGGGGAACGTTTCTGTGCTGGCCTCCTTTGGTGGGTGCGACAGAGCCAGGAGTCGGGGGAGAGGAGTGGTTCTCAGGGACGGCTCCCAGACCGGCAGGTTCAGCATCACCTGGGAGCGTGCAGGTTCTCAGGCCCTGCCCCAGACATCGCAAACCAGAAACATGGGGGGCGGGGCCGTGCTCACCCAGAGGCTGTGTGGTTCTCTCCCCAGCCTGTGCTCACTGAAGTTAAGGAAGACGTGGCGGCGAGGAGGTGTGGGAGCCACGGGGCTTACACCTGTTGGTGGGGTTCGTCCGCTCGCTGTCTAAGGACGTGTGGCAGGCACTGCAGGACGCGACTCCCCCACCTCGGCTCTGGGCCTGGGGGGGAGGCCCTTGGGCCCCTTCCGTCGAGGCTGATGTGTGTTGGGGAGAGAGCCCCTCAGACGAGCTATCGTGGGGATCCTTGTGGCGGGCAGGCACCTTGCTTCTCTCCAAGTCCATTTTGTCTATAATTTTCCATCACCTCCCACCTAAGACACATGGTCAGATTTGCTTTGTTCGTCCTGGTTAGAGTTTTATCTCCTTTACTTATTCTCTCCTGCTGGGAGGATTACAACCAGCATAATGCTTAGAGAGCAGATTTCAAAAAAGAAGAGAGAGGAGAGGGCCAGGGGCACCTGCCCACGGGAGCCCACTAACCACACACCCCCCCCACCCTGGCTGGTGCTGCTGAGGTAACTGCGCATGAAGTCTGGGGCCGCGGGCAAAGCGTTCCTGGCTCTTATTTCGCCAGCTCCCTGGCTTCATACCATTTATTTTGCCAATTCCCTGCCTTAATACCATTTTATTTTTTCACTCTCTCCTGTCCTCTTGGGCCTAGTGACACGGAGCAGAAAGACATCCCTATGGGGATAAATTCTCCAGACAGCAGTTAATGAGAGATCATTAAATCACTGGGTCTGCTGGACATGGGACTCCCTCTCCACTGGCCCCAGAGGGAAGTGCTGCAACAGCTGGAGAGGGCCGGCCCCCAGGAAGCCCTCCCCACTCCTGTGGGTGGGGTTGCTGAAACCACTCCCTCTGCTGCAGCAGCAGTTCAGGTGCATCCAGGGCTCAGGGCTCTTCCGTTGTTTTGGGTCCTGTCCTAACGGAGACAAGTTTGAGCCTCCGTTGGTGAGCAGAGCGAGTCACCTCTCTCTGCTTGGCCCTGTGTCCTTGGAGAGCATGGCTCTCTGCTGGACAGAAGCCACTTTGCTGCATCACCCGCAGGGTTTGGAAACTGTTCACAGCCCGTCAGTGTGGTGTGAGCATAGCAGTGAGTGAGGCAGGAGTGGCACCTTGAAACACACCTTCTCCGTATGGGGATGCTCCCCGCCATAGGGACGCATCGACCACCCAGGTGCACTCTCACTTCCAGCCCTGCTGCTGCCCAGCTGTGCAGGTGTCCAGGCCGGCCCTTTCCTGGGTGCAGTCCTGGGGTACAACACTGAACCCTTTATTTTTTACTGAAGGAAAATTCTTATTTAACGCCTGTGTTGTGTTAGTCTGCTGGGGCTGCCATAACAAAAGAACCACAGACAGGGTGTCTTAAACAACAGAGGTTTATTTCCTCACATTCTGGAGGTTAGGGGTACAAGATCCTGGTGTGAGCAGGTTGGTTCCTCCTGAGTCCTTTGTCCTTGGTCTGTAGACGGCCGCCTTCGTCTGCCGTCACGTGGTCTCCCCTCTCTGTACATGCATGTGCACCTCCTAGTCTCCTCTTCTTACTTAAGGACACCAAGTATAGGGGGCCCACCCTAGTGACTTCATTTTAACTTAGCTCTAAAAGACCCCATTTCTAAATATTGCCACGTTCTGAGGTCTGGGGGTTAGGACTTCAACATGTGAATCTGGAAGACAGAGATGTAGTTCAGCCCATGACACTTCATCTCCCTCCTGGTTCCTGAAGGGTGTCTCCCAAAGCTGTCCCCAGCCCTGGACTTCTTTTCTCACCAACCAGCGAATTCGCCCGTCCCTGCCCACTCCCAGCATCCTCTGCAAGCCCCCCTCCCAACCCGGTGAATGCGCAGGTGGCCACGGGGAGGAAGAGCTTTTGCAGGTCGCATCTGGGACTAACCAGCGGTAGGGAGTGGACCACGTCCTAAGTGGCCCACGGAGACTCCGGCGGCTGCTCTCTGGCACTGAGGTCAGAGTGTGAGCTCATTAGCACTGGCCTTCACACGATGGCCTTTGGCAGAGCATGAAGCCTAACGTCTTCACGTGAAAAACAGGACTGTTGAGTTCAGTTTGCTCTGATGGCCTTTCTATTTCTCTCACATTACTTTTTAAAAATAAATTTACTGAAGCATATTTTACATATCCCATAATTCCCCAATTTCAAGTATACAGTTTAATGATACTTTTAGTATATTTACCAAGCTGTACAACCATCACCATAAATGAGGTTTGGGACATTTCTATCATCCCAGGAAGACCCCTCAAGCCCATATGCTGTTCACCCCCCACTCCTACCCCCACCCAGTGCAGCCACCGGTCCACACTCCGTCCCTGCAGATTTGCCTTCTCTGGACCAGTGACAGGAATGGAACTGTACCGTCTGTGTCTCTTGTGTCTGGCTTCTTTCACTCAGCATGGCGGTTCTAGCATACGTGCCCCAGCATGCATCCGTAGTCGTTCCTTTTTTTAATTGCTGATCTCGGTGGTCTTGTGTGTACTTGCTGTAGGTCACAGTCACCAGCTGTTCCATGTGTGTGTGATCCTGGCTACATACATGCAGATGGAAGCCATCCTTCTGGACAAGACTCTGCGGAAGGAATGGCTCCTGGCCAGCGCCGGGGCCCTGTCTCTGCCTCAGATAGCCGGAGCCGTGCTTCTGTGCCTCGTCTTCAGCCTGAGCAACATAATTTACTTCTCAGCTGTTCTGTATCGGGCGCCTGAGCCAGAGCCACATAAAAAAGAAGCCTGAGTCAGACCCTCTTTGTGCCAGATGTCAATGCCAAACTACAGCATCCTAACCACCAGCAAGTCCCACCAGATGTGTGGGACCAGTTCACACTGGCCTGAAATATTCATAATGACTGGTGTCTTGGCATTTTTGAGTGGGTTCATATCAATAAGTTATGTACCTGGGGAAATTTCTCTAAATGTGCACTGATTCTGCATGTGTGGTTTTAAAAGGGGAACGTGGGTTTGTGCAAGTCATTGTTCAGGCACATCATTACTATTTCATTAAGTTTTAACTTTATTTAAAGTGAGTTTTGCAATTCTATTTAAGCAGTTGGGTTGACCATACTGCCTTCACAGCTTTACCGTTAAACAGTTAGGTGAAGCTTTACAACCCTTGTAGTATTACTTTTTAAAAGTGGAACTTGCTTCATTTGATGAGTTCCATGTAGCAAAGCCTCTCCCAAGGGCTTCCGCAGGGGAGGGGAGTGAGCCAGAAAGGTCAGGGACAGGACCTTAGAGAGGGGACCTGGGGTCTGTGGGAGCCCTGGGGACTGGAAAGGCGTTCCGGAAGGAAGAGAGAGACCTGGTTTGAGGAGGGGTCTTCTTTCTCTTCCCACCTAGTGAAGGACATGGACAGAAAGAGCGCCCTCTTTTTCCTCAGGTCTGTTCTGCTTCAGAGTGCAAATTCCTATGTCAGTGGATTTGCATTTTGGAGTATGAATTTGGATTTTTGTAAAAGTCCACAGCCTATGGCTGATGTCATCTCATATGTTCTGTTTTGCTCTGGTTTCTTGTTGCCCGTTTGATGCTGTGAAGTATTATGCAGTGCAGGTGTAATGTGTTACACTGCGGGAGTCGGCCGAGTCACGCCCTGTTGGTCCTGCTCATTGGTCACCTTTTGAAACAATGACAGCACTGTATGTAGGGATGTCATGCATCTCATGTTGCTTCATCTCTTCAAATATGCTGCAAATTTTAGTGTTCACATGCCGAAGACACTAAAGACCTTGCCAAACGATTGGTCGAATGTAGTGATTTTCCAAGCTTTCCTGAGAATCTGGAACACTTTGCTGAGCTTGTGACAAATGCAGGCTCCCAGGGAAACCAGGAGACTCTGTTTTGCTGGTGTAAATATAGGTTCCCGGAAGGGCATCTGCACTGGAGCAAGCCCACGTGATGTTAATGCAGAAGGGCCACAGGCCCAACTTGAAGAAACGCTGGTGTCAGGAATTCCAGAAGGCACTGGGCTTTGTTTTCCTTGATGTAATTTTTAGCAACTCGTGACCTAAGGATGTGTTCCCTGCTTCTACTCTGCATAGCACTAAAACACTGAGCATTTTCTCATCTGTTGCATTACTAATTGAAGTTCAGTATTTCAGGGTATTTTTCAGAGCATACAGAAATGTTGACGCAAAGTGATTGTCAACAGAGGCCCATCCACCCCTGATTTGCACTTGTTAATGACTTAAGGGGCTGTCTGCAATGCAGGATCCTCTTTGCTGACTCAGGAACACCCCCATGTCTTAGGATACTGCCTTTCTGGTTAATTGGCCCGGGTTGAATGGCCTTGTAAATAACTCATCATCCAATCCTCTGAGGACAAGTAACAATTTATACTGGATGAGAGTGGTCAAGAAATATGATTTCATTAGTTTTATTATCTGTTTACTCCCTCTCGGGAAAGTAAACTGATAAAATTATATGGTAAATTTTTGGCCTCAGTACATTCATTGCAAACTATTGTACCCGACAAAATTTGGTGTTTTAACAGCAATCTGAAATCATTAGTAAAATTTTACTCCAGCGGGGTAAGTGGGCTTCCATTTCATTTTACTATAATGGCAATTTTGTAGTGAAAAAAAGAACAGCATTTAAATAACTTATTTTAGTAATGCCAGAGACATGAAGGCTTTCATATTCTCTTGTTTATAACAGTAAAGTCATGTTCTGCATTCAGCTTAGACATAGTTGGAAGATAACAGGCGATTAACCTGAAGGGCTTTTAGATTATTTCATCTTTGGTGGTTACTTTTCGAGCCTAAAGATGACAAAAGAAATGTGAAATCCTCAAAATAAGATCCAATGTTTCACAATGTTTTTGTAAGTTTGGTAAACTTAGTCCCATTGTATATTTTTGGACAGTGTTACACATTGAAGTTTTATAACACTTTGCAGTACACTGATTTAGAAGCTTCTAAGATGTAGTAAGAATGAGTTCAAATAGGTGAATTATCACTAAGTATTAAGTCTGAAGTGGGTGTAGTTTTGCCTACATCATCCCAGAAAGTCAAAAAGGTTGGCAGTGGGTTGGGCGAAGACCTCCCCAGGAAGATGCTTTTTAATGCAGTTCTCAAACAAACTCTGATGTCTCTGTACACTTCAGACACACTTCAGACACGTGCCATCCTCCCATTGGTGTCACCTGCTCACCCTCGCCCTGTCTCAAAAGGGGTGATGTGGGGGCCGGCAGGTACACTTCCAATGGGATGTCCTTCTTTCCCTTCCCCCTGCTTGAGAAACACAACTCTGAAACTTACCAGCCATTACATCTGTGATAAAACTTGAATGTGTTCGAACAAGGCCATTTAGTCAACTGTCCCTCCCTTTACACATTGTAGAGTTTCATTTTCTACTGCTCGACTTTTAGAGAAGAACAATCCATCTTCTTTGTTGAAGAAATGTCTGTCATTGTTGATTAGAACTGGAAATGGGAGTTCAGAAACTTTTGAGTAAAAGTGAGTTAAATATTTGATTGGTTGCAGTGTTTTTCAAAGTGGAACCCTGCTCATATGAGAAGTTCTGAGGAAGGGCATGGAATAGAATGACACTGTCAGATACATTGGCAAAGCGTGTCTTTTGGGTCTATTGTGTCCCCAGTTTGTTTTGGCCGTGATACCCTTCATATGAAGCATTATACCCTTCTAACATGAACGCCAGCCTCTGATGTTCTAGTCAATGATCCATAATGGATAAAAGGCAAAGACCCATTCCCAAACTCGAAGATTTTCTTTCAGTGTCTGGTTTCCTTAAACTATGGGAGAAATAAATAAATTTTATTTATTATAAAGGAGTTGTCCTGTTTCCCACTTGCTTTGGCAATATTTCATCTACCACACTGCAGATGTGTTCATTCACCTGAACATGTGTGCATTGCTAAATCATTCGATGAGCATTTATTCAGTGCCTGGTGTATACAGAGCAAACATTGTCCTAGGAACCGGGGACACAGAAGTGAACAAAACCCACACTGTCCCTCCTCCCTCACAGAGCTGATGTTCTGATCAGTCAGTCAGACAAGATTAATTCAAATCGTGGTAAGTGCTATAAAGAAAATAAGTCTGTTCTGGCTGGTGTAGCTCAGTGGATTGAGTGCAGGCCTATGAACCAAAGGGTTGCCGGTCTAATCCCCAGTCAGGGCACATGCCTGGGTTGTGGGCCAGGTCCCCAGTGCAGGGCGCTCAAGAAGCAACCACACTCTGATGTTTCTCTCCCTCATTCTCCTTCCCTTCATCTCTCTCTAAAAATAAATAAAACCTTTAAAAAGCTTTTTAAAAAAGAAAAGAAATCTGCCCTGGCTGGTGTGGCTCAGTGGACTAAGCACCAGACTATGAACCAAAAGAGTTGTGCGGGCCAGGTCCCTGGTTGGGGGCGTGTGAGGGGCGACCAGTCAGTTTCTCTCCCACATCGATGTTTCTCTCCCTCACTTCCCTCTCTCCCTAAAAAATAAGAAATAAAATCTTTTAAAAAGAAAAAGAAAAGTCTGGAAAAGGAATAGGGAGGGATGGGGTAGGGCAAGTGAGAGTGGGTGGCCACTCTGATAAGCTGACATTCAAGGCAAGGCTTGATGGGCAGAAAGGTGCCGGCCATGCCAGTGGGGGGGGCGGGTGTTTCAGGTCAAGGTGGCAGGACCTGCAAAGGCCAGTTGGCACATGTCCTTTCAGAAGGATGGACCACTGGCTGTTGATCCCTGGCCTGTGTAACTCCAAAAGGTGTCTGGATGACTTAACATTTGAAGAATTCTAGAATTTCTCTGGAATGTTCTACCTAGAAGATTGCCAAGGGGCTTTCCTGTGCCCCTTTGACACTCGAATGAATGCTTGAACCCTGTAGTACTGTCCTGCAAAGAGGCGTCGCACCCATTCTCTTCATTTAAGCCGCAGATTTCTAAAACCGGCTTAACTTTCACCTCCTCCAAGGCATAGAACAAAGGACCTCAAAAATCATTTCATCCAGCCTTTCAAAAATGTATTTGGTGCAAAATGCACATTCTCAGGCCCAAATGAACAGACAAAGAATACTCAAGGGTTTAGGGATGGGGGTTGGAGTTTTAAATTTTTGCCAACGCCCTAGGTGATTTTTAATGTTAAGGGAGATTAAGAAGCACTGATATAGTCCAACTGTTTCTCTTCTTTTTTCTTTTTTTTACATGGTTTCAGACTTAGAAAAATGTTGCAAATAGAACAAAGAATCCCCAGGTACTTTTTATCCTTCCCTCTTTCAATATTTATTTATAATAACTCTTTAATGGAAATACTCTTCTGCTGTTATCCACAGTGCATTTACTTATTTGCTCAATCCCAGGATGTACACAATGTTGTTTTAAAATTACCTATGTCTGAAAAAGCCTACTAATTTGAATTCAATATAAGTTTCAAGATCGTTCTGCCTTGACCCTGAAGGCGTGTAGTAAATAGTCTTCATCACTGGGGTTAGTGTCAGCCTCCCTGTCTGTGTATGTTATCCATTTGAAACGTGGTTCAGACCATTCGTTTCTTGTGTCAATTTTATAGTTCCCCTCCCCAAGCTTGTTGATTTTACTCATTTTTTCATAGTATATAAAGCATTGATTTCCAGTCAGTCATTTTATAAGTGTCCTGGGAATGTGAGATGATGTTTCCAAGGGGGAATTCACTGAGTGAACAGCAGGGCAAAGGACAGAACTCTCTCCCTCGACTGCTGGGTGTGTCCCAGCTCCCACAGTATTCCTGCCTCCATTCTACCACCTCCCCTCCTGGGCTTTGGTAGGTTCTGGGCATTGGTGTTTATTCAGTTCCTATAGCTGTACTTGCTTAGCTGGATGCTTGGATTAATTATGGTTTCAAATTTGTGTATTGTCCATCACTCTTCAGAGATTTGCATAACACCCTCCCAGTCCAGTTTGGCAGTTTCTTATAAATTTAAACTTACATTTACAATACCAGTACTCCCACCCAAGAGAAATGGAAACACATGCTTACAATAAAGACCTTCGTACAAATAATTATACCAATTTCACTCATAATCGCCAAAAAGCGGAAACAACCTGAATGTCCATCAAACTAGTGAATGAATAAATTGTCCTGCACTTATACAATGGAATACTACTCAGCGTTAAAAAGGGAATGTACTGCCAGTACATGCAACACAGGGATAAACCTCGAAAGCATTATGCTGAGTTCAAGAAGAAACATTCTGGAAAAGACAAAACTCAAAGGAAGTTATGAAAGTGGTTGCCAAGGGCTGGGACAGGGGCCTGTTGTTGACTCTGAGGGAATTTCTGTGCGATGGGAATATTATACATGTGATTGTGGCAGTGGTTACAGGATAGTGTATGTTCATCAAATATGTAGACAGTACAACTAAAAAGGGTAAGTTATACCCCAATAAACCTGACTTTTAAAAAAACAGCATCCCCTCTCCTACTCACCCCAGGTCTGGATCTCTAATTCTAATGGAAATACAAATCTTTTACTGGTTATGGAAGCTTTTTAGGGGGAAAGATTAGGATGTGTTCAGTGTGAGGTGCCTGTGGGAAACCCAGAAAAATGATATAATGAATTAGCATTTTAAGGAAAACTAATAGCCAAAGAGCTTAATATGGATAGAAGTAAGGGAGGAAGAAAAAACAGGCTTGAAAAAAAGCTGGGGGTGATGCAAAGCTGGAGGACCTAAATCCTCCACTGGGGTGGCCTCTGAAGGGATAGACTCACTCCTTCTCAACTCAATGGAGCATCCACATTGTGGGATTCTGGGGGTGCAACAGTGCCATCTAGCGAGACTGTAGGGATAATCTGGAAAAGACAGTAATAAACTGACTGTAAACTGGGAAGTGAGCACCAAAGGAATCAGCAGGAGCAGTGACTGGGTGAATGCAGGGGACTGTGGATTTAAAGAGGGGTCTAGCATCCAGATCTGCTGAGAACTGAGGATAAAGAGTCATTGTCAGAGGAAGGGCGGAAGGAGAGCTTGACAGCAAGAGGGAGTGGTGTGTGAGCCCAGTGAGTGTGGGGCCCTGAAGGTCAACGTGGCTGGGGGGCAGTGCTGCAGGGGTTAATGGTAGGTGAGGAACTTGAGTAGGACTGGAGCCCTCTTGAGGGTCTCCAGCAATGGGGAGTTACTGCAGTGTTACAAGAACAGAAGTGACATGACCAGACCTATGATTTATAGGTGAGCTGGCTGCAAAGAGGATCCTGGTGTGAAAGGTAGCAGCAGGGAAGCCTGTTAGGATAATGCTGCAATCATCAGGTGAGAGATGGTAGTGGCCAAGGGGATGAAGAGAAGTGGAGAGGTTTGGAGGCTATAGGTAGAACTCTCAAGATTTGGAAATGAATGTTGGAATAGAAGGGGAGGCAAAAGTCAAGGACACTACCTTGGACTCCGGTTTGGGTGCATGGATAGATGGTGATGGGGAGCAGGCTCAGGGGAAGAGATTAGGGTATGCTGGGTGTGGGGTGGTTGTGGGTCACCCAAGTGGAGAATCCATAAGGATGTATGAGTCTGGAACTCAGAAGAGCAAATATGAATGGTACGTGAAACCATGGGTGTGGTTGGGAGGTAAAAACCCTAAGTCACAACATTAAAGGGAGAGAAAGAATGCACAAATGAGGCAAAAAAGGGGGGGGGCGAGGGTGCTAGAAGGCCAGGAGAAAAAGGCATAGGAAGAAATGAATGATAAATATTTTTAGTGCTATTAAAAGGTCAGGTAAGATAAGGGTGGGGAAGGGTCAATTAGATTTAGCATCCAGGACGAGGCGTGATCTTGGTGAGAAGAGTTCCAACAGAGAGATTGAAGCCAAAGCCACACTACAGAGTAACTAAGAGGTAAGCCGGCGGCCAAGCCCAATTTCTAAATGGTACAGATCCCAACCTCTCATCTGACAACAGTTAAATCCTAATGGTTCAAGACTTACACATAAAAACAAAGCAGGAAAAGCACTAAAAATACATATTTTAAAAATTATATATAATTTATGATAATATATAATTATATTCTTTCAGTGGGTAACACTTTTCCTAGTGTGATACAAAACACAAGACAATAAAGAAAAGACTGATGGTCCCAGGTCACATGGCTCAGCTGGTTGGATGTTGTTCCTCAAACCGAAAGGTCGCTGGTTCGATTCCTGGGTAGGGCACATGCCTGGGTTGCAGGTTTGGTCCCTATTTGGGATGCATATGGAAGGCAGCCAATTGGAGTTTCTCTCCCACATCGATGTTTCTCTCCCTCTCTTTCTCCCTCCCTTCCCCTCATTCTAAAATCAAAAATTAAAATAAAGCCACAGATTTAGCCATCGTAGAAAAGAGTGGTTCTGGACCTTGCTCCTCAAGGACAAAGACCAAATTTCACTCATTCCTGTATGCCTATGATCAAACGGTTTAAAAAATTCGATAAAACAATGTATCTAAATGAACGAGCTGGAGAACCCAAGAAAGGTGAAGAGAAAGGAAGCCAAGATGCGGTGATATGAAAGCTAGAGAGGGCGCCGGACGTAACACAAAAATAGGACGCTCCTGGGCCGGAACGACAGTGCTGACTTCTGGACGTGCTCTTCCATTGGATTTTTCAGGCTATAGGAAAATAAACGCTCAGTTTCCTCATCAGAAACGGAGGGAATTGTACTTTGTACTTGAGGTCGCGGGTCCAGCGCGGTAACGTGGACACCCAGACTCCCCGCGCCCTTTCCGCGTCAGTCGCCTAGGAGACGAGCGCCACTTCCGGCGGAGCAGTCAATTTCCAGACGGCCTCGCCTTTTTCGTGGGCAGGCGCTGATTGGCCCGTTTGAAATGCGCAGGGCGGTAAGTTCACCTGGACTCGCGGCGGCACCGCCCGGCTTCACTGAGGGCAGCTCCGTAGCCACCGAGTTAGGTTGCCGCGCCGCTTCCTTGTGACCCGACATCCCTGCCAGGCTTCCCGGTGGAGTCTGGCGTCCGGCGTGCGCATCCCGGGAGCTCGGAGCTTGCTGCCATGAAGCCTGCGTGAGTACAGGGCGGAGGAGCTGGGCCGCGGTGCTGGGGCGGGCCCCTCGTCACGCCGCCGTTCGCCGCGTACGGTCTACCTCGGCCGGAGTCCACAAAGTGGGAGCCCCCTGACCCCCAAAGCCGGGCGTCTGCCGCCCTGCCTTGGCCTCCGCTGCCCGGAGAGGTCAGCGGGGGCGGGGAGGAGGTTAGTGCAACCACGCCGGTTCTGGTTAGCTGTGTTGCCAGCCCCCTGACTCGGGGCCGCCTCCGCTAACCCTTTCCTAAATTTCCTCCCGTCTCCTGGCCGCCCGCGTTCTCAGGCTGCGTTTTGCCGAGTTAGTGCGGGGTCTTGTAGCGCATGGGGTCGTGTTGAGCTCCGGGGTTGAGGTTGGTTAGGTGGTCTCGGGCCCTGGAGAGAGCCCTGGCAGCCTTGCGCGCTGCATGCTTTTCTTACCCCAGCGCCGTGGCCCGGAGGCCGCGACCATCCCGTGGTATAGAC